TAGGACATATAAAGAATTAAAAAATATCAGCCCTCCCCAAATTCAAAGACCTAATCCAAAAATGGGCATCTGAGATGAATACACACTTCTCAAATGAAGAAATATTAATGGTGAATATATTCATGAGAATATGTTCAACATCATTAGTCGTTTGAGAAATACAAATTGAAACAACACTGAGATTCCATCTCACCCCAGAAAGAATGGCTGTCATCAAGAAATCAACCAATAAGAAATGCTGGAGAGGCTGTGGGGAGAAAGGAACCCTACTCCGCTGTGGTGGGATTGTAGATTGGTGAAACCACTGTGGAAATCATTTTGGAGATTCCTTACAAGACTAGGATTGGAAGTCCCACTTAACCCAGCTATTCCCCTTCTGGGTATTTTCCCAGAAGAATTAAAAACATCATACCACAGTGATATGTGTGCACTCATGTTTATAGCAGTACAATTTGTTATAGGTAAATCTTGGAAACAACCCAAATGCCCATCCACTGAGGAATGGATACAAAAGATGTGGTATTTTTATTCAATGGGGCATTACTGAGCTATGAAAAAAGATAAACTTAAGGCTTTTGTCGGTAAATGGATGCAACTAGAAACCATACTCATAAGTGAAATAAATCGCACCCACATGTGTAAACATCATATTGTCTCCCTGATGTAGGAATCTGAAAGGATAAGTAAAACTCAAAATGTACTAGAGATGATAGGAAAGGAAAAGAAATTGCTCAAAGGAAGGAATGACTGGGATGAGGGAAAGAAGAAACAGAAAAAAAGAAGGAAGGCAAAACATAGATGATAGATAGATTGATAGATAAATAGATAGATAGATAGATAGATATAGAATAATAGCTGGGATAATTGTACTGCTTATATCTGATGGTATATTGAAAGGAACAGTTAATGCTTAAATTTTTTTATGTTCTGACCAATTTTGCATGCTTGTATCTGGTAATCTGTGCAACTGATTTGAGGACAATAATATGCAACGGAACAAACATGTGAATTCCTACCATCTTTCTAATGAAACTCAATATTATCTTTAATGTTTTATCTAGTAATTATTTTTTATTCTCTTTAATGGTTTGAACAATCTTCTATTGTTACATCTGGTGATCGGAGCAATGTAGTTGAAGATAACAATATGTAATATAACAACCACTGTTAATTCCTATCATTTTGTCTTGAAACCCTCTATCACTTTTTGTTTTTGTTTTTGTTTTTCTCCGGTACCGGGAACCGAACTCACGACCTTGCGCTTGCCAGGCAGGCGCTTTTGCCGCTGAGCTAAATCCCCAGCCCCCTCTATCACTTTTAATGACTTGTTTTGTTTCATTTATGTTTGTGATGTTGGGATGCTGCTATTGTTCTTTCTTTTTCTCATTTACTACTCTTTTTTTTTTTTAAAAAATAAATAACAAAAGCAGAAACTACAGAAGAAAAAATTAAAATTACATAAAAGTTCAATCTTTCTCTATTTCATGCCATTATCTATAACTTTAAGTTTGGAGGCTATATTGCAAAGGTAAAAGTCTTTGTTAATTAGAGATAACTATTGAAATATTTATAGATTAAATGTTACAGTGTGTGGAATTTTCTTCAATATAATCAGGAATTAGGAAGAGATGAAATGGGAGAATTGAGTGGAGAAAGCTGAAAGACGATAACAAGAGTTGATAATTGTTGAAGCTGAATGAAGAAATGGTGTTCACACATATGTGTCATCTCTATTTTTGTGGGCATTTTAACGTTTTTGTAATATAAAAATTTTTATATGATATACAAAAATGGCAGAGAAATCACAACAAGGGGAAGTATTTGTAAAATAAATCACAAGAAATGGATTCCTGGCATATAAATCAATTTTAAAAGTTAAATTGGCCAAGTATATGAACAGACAATTCACCAAAGAAAAAGAAAAAATGACAATGAAAATAAGCATGTGAAAATAATTACACGCACACAATTATCTACAAATCAAACACATTTTATTTAAAATGGCATAAATTTCCCCACTACCTATCAACATTGTTTTGAGATGACAAAAGTTTATTATTGACATAAGTAAAATGGCAATATGAGATAATGTGGGTTAGAGTGTAATTTGCCCAACTTTTTGATAATACATATTAAAAATTTTTAAATTTCACTTACCTTTAGTCTAAGCAATTTTATTTCTGGGAATTTAAAATTCTTAAATGTGCACAAAAATCTATTCAAAGAAATATGTCAAAGTGAAGTTTGTAATAATTCAAGAGATATAAATAATCTAAATGTCTAAAGATAGACATATTAAGACACTAGGGTGAATTTATCAGTGGAATTTTCTTTCTCTTTCCATTCATTCAGTTATTCAGGTTTTTAAAAGTGTTTAGTGAGCTCCTACCAACCACCAGCCTTTGGTTAGGCACCAAGAATAAAACAGTGAATACTTTCCTTGCTTCGATGAGCTTATTGTCTACCAGGCAAACAGAAAATAAGGGCCATGTCATAGGAAAAATCTGAAGCTGGGTGGTAGCTATGGGGTACAGTAATCTAGGAAAGCATGAATAGGGAGATTAAAAGGTCAACTCCTGAATAAGAAGAAGCCAGAAATGCAAGACCTGGGTTAGGAGGGTTCCATATTATTAAAATAATTCTGAGCAGAACCCTTAAAATGCTGGAAAATGTTTGCAGTGAATTAAGTGAGGAACAAGCCAATTTCAAAATGACATGTAGTACTGTATCTATAAATGAATCTATCATATGGACATACACCAAAATTTACAGTACCTATTTTGAGGACTTGAAAATGTGAGCAATTTTCATTTTCTTTTTATGTATCACTGATTTGTAGGTTTTCAATAGTAAATGTACGCATTTCTTTGTACAAAGGAAATAACTAATTGAACAAGGTTGGGTCTTCCCTTTACAATGCAGCCACCTCCAGTCTTTGGTGCTCGGAGCTGATGGTGTAGCAGTTATTGAAGCCATTGGAAACACTGAACATCTTTCCTTAATGTTAGACAGAGAGAATACATGTGGTTGGGGAGAAATGATTATAGAAGTAGCAAATATTTAATATATCAATGTTATATTAAAGGTAATAAACATACAAATGTGTTATGAAATTTAAAGTAGAATTTGTATGCATTCTTAAGTGGGGGAAAGGAGAGATGAATTTTTGAAAGTCATGTTTCTTAGAGTTACTTTGGGCCAGACTTCAAGAAACTTACAGTATTTATTTACTCTTCTCGTTATAAGAGCATGTCTTGAGAAAGTGATGACAGCATAGCTGGCCTTGTAATTGTGAAGAATCACACGAAGATTGGCAGATGTCCTTCAGATGGATGGTTTGTACAGAAATATTGAACAAGACTTATTCATTGAGCATGTGCTGTGGTGCCAGCAGTGGATCGGGCCAGGTAATGTAGACAGTTTCTGTGTCGTGAAATGTGTGTTCCAATTTTTATCATCAGAGAAGGATAAATTTAATAGAATTGTTAGTAATTTTATTAACATTCTTTCAACTATTTATGGAGCGCTACTATATTGGACAGTGCTCTAGTTACTGGGGAAATACTAGCCAGCCAAAATTCTCACCTTTACCAAAATGTAGACAAGTTCCAAACAAGGGAAAAAAACAAAGATAATAGAATTGCTACGTAGCTGCATTTTAAGATGAACTATTCATAAATAGGCAGCATGTAAGGAATGGTTCCACATTTCCTCACATCCAATCACGCCGCATTACCACATTCCAGTCAAGGAGGAACAGCACACGAAACAGTGCTCCAGTAGAATTACAATGGAGTTGAACATTGTTATTACCTAACGATGTGGTAGCCATCCTAAGGTCATACAGCAAGGCATTATTAACACGTAGGTGGTGCTGTTGGTGTAAACAGCTTCACTGTGCTGCCCATACGGTTGTGAGTACTACATCACACTGGATAATGGTAACAAGCGATTGTTATTGATTGCTGAATTTCCGGTACTATCCTTTGTGTTGTTATTTTAGAGTGTAATTCCACTTATAAAGAAGCATGCTGAAGAGGTGTGCCCCCTTATGGTGCAGCAGCCTCGGACAGCTCATGTTTATGGTCTCCTGAGTCCAGAGACTGACCTGTACCACCCAGGCTTGTATAAGTAGAATATTGTCTCCATCACTGTCTCGTCCCTGGGACCAATGCCCAACACCCACCATTTAAAGAGGAGAGGTTCACTTCGGCTCATGCTTCAGTGACCTCTAATGCAGAATTCTTGTCCCCACCTCCTCTCAAGATAACAGAGAGACACAGAGGAGGAAAGTGCTCAGCCCATGGCCACCAGGAAACAGAGAGAGAGGGGCAAAGCCACAGACAAGAGCACACCCTTACAGATCACCCCCCAAGTGACCACGTCCAGCCAGATACCACCTCCTAACAGTACTCTGAGCTATGATCTCACCTGTAGATAAGTCCACTGGTGAATATAGGACCCCCACAGTCCAATTAATTTGAGGAGATAGTTTAGATTAAACCATAACAACTACAATGTTGGCACCAGATGAAATTGCTTGATGATCATTTCTCAGAATGCATCCCCATTGCTAAGTGGTGCATGAGTTGTACATTAAAACTTAACCAAATTAGTGAAACTACTTTCCATCTTACCGGTTTCAAATGGTACTACTTACCACTCCTGTAGTATTTGAGGATGATGATAATATTTGTCCATTAAAAAAAGACACTAGAAGAATATCCAAGTTGAAATGTTTAAAGAAAACAAAAATGAGCTCCTGCATGTTTTTCTTACTGCAGTTCTCTGAGTGAGTCTGGCTCTCTGTGGGCAGCTGTTAAAGACACCTGCTAAAGCTACGGGACTTGTGGAATGTTGCAAGAGCTAGACGGTGATTGACTGGAGAAGCCACAATGTATAATTTATCCAAGTGGCAAGTAGCTTGAGCAACGTCTAATGTAATTTTGGGCTTAATTATTTGGAAAAAAAGGTAAATGACACATGAATGAAATCCGTAAGTGAGCCAAACCTGGGAGTTGTAAATGCCAATGAGAAAAGGAAATAGTGCAGAGGTGGAGGGAAGTACCATGCATCAGGAGGTAATAGCCCAGACCCGCTCTGCTCAGAAAATACGTAGCAGATAAAAAGGACTGATGTTCTCAACTGAAGACTGTATCCAGAGTTTTTCAAATTGCTCACTTCTGTACACTCATTACAGCACTGTATATATTTTCATGGTCAAATTTGTAATCTTCTGACATGATTCCTGTTTTAAGAGCCTAGGGTTAAGAGGATTTCAACAGCACAGTTTATGTTTATTCAAGAAGGGCCATGAAATAGATATAACAGTTAATTGGGAATCAATTAAAAGGAGTTGGAGAGCAATACAATGGGCATCACTGACTTACACTTCAAATATCTGTGCATGGTAGTTATACATCTAACACCACCTGTCTAGAGAAAGCCTTTTATATCTATAGCTCTCCCAGATCTTTCATCTTCCGTCAATCTAATTCTCCCACACAGTATTCTCCAATGGTGCCATCAAATTTTGTAAGTAGGTCTGTTTAGTTCTTTCTGTCATATGCCACTCCAGGTGGTCCTGGTTCACCTCCTCAAACCTAGTACGCATTTCCCAGTATTAAGACACCTTGTAAATTAAGGATTTGCTTTACTGACTATGGCCAACCACAGGAGTGATCTGAGGATTCAGAGTAGAACATTAATTTCCACTGTTAGTTTTCACTATTAAATAAATGGGCTTTTGTAAAAAAGAGATATACAAATATTAATGTTTATTGTGGTGCGCAAGATAGCTTGAGGAGATGTTAAGTAAAGGAAAATGACAAAAATGCATTAGAACCTAGTTACAAGTAATGTTCTCTCTGTAGCTTTCAACTCCTACCTTCATTGTTTAACACTTACTGGGTCCATCTCCACATCAAACTGCCGGAAACGCTTCTTGGTGTTCCAATCTCTCAAGGCAGCCGTTCTCCTCACTCTGGGTCCTTGGGGGCCAAATGTGGTGTGTCCCAACTAGAATATTTGGACTTGCCCAGGCTGTAGCACTGAGAACTCTCACCATCTAGCTGAACATTATTTTCTTCTTTCCTCTTGAGGTGAAGAAGCCTCATGTTTAAAAATTAAACTGCAAGTTTATTTTTAATTTTGCTTTAGTCTATGTTTACAATACAGAATGATTGCATTCATCTGGGGGAGTTGATCCATGTATGGACCACATCTTAATTGTTTTATGTCCCCTTCTTCTCCCCTCCCTCTTGCCTCCCACCACCTCTGGGTCCCCTTCCAATTTATCTCCCTGTTTTCTATTACCTATTTATTTTGCTTTTTAATTTAAAAATTATACTTCAGGTTTCTCATATAGAAGAAATTGTGCAATACTTAAGCTTGTGTGTCTGATTGATTTCACTTATCATTAACACTGTGGTCTCAACATGCATCCATTTTCCTACAAATGACTCAAATTTATCCTTCTTTATAGCCACTTTATTTTTGTCCCATGAAGATTGGTAGAAGCTGAAAAGGAAAAAGAAACTCTGTGTGTGTGTGTGTGTGTGTGTGTGTGTGTGTGTGTGTGTGTGTGTGTGTGACAAATACTACCTTGAAAACCAACTACTTCTGTGTTTTCCTTCCTAGAAATTCATGCTTAACCCCTACCATTTGCCATTAGTCTCACCTTCCAGACCAGGCCCAATTCTGAGAAGCTGCAGAAGTTGACTTATCATTGATGACTTAGAGGTGTAACTAGGGTTCTGTTGGTGAATGTTTAAGTATTTGTTCTGGGAAAGGAGGATAAGGGGAAGAATGGAGATTTGAACACTCGCATCTACCATCTCTGTGGTGTCCTTATTCCCATCACAGCTGCTTTTAAGCTTCCAACATGATATCATCCACTGCAGAATTAGAATAAGGTGCTAACAATTTATTCACTGAGACCACTATAGAAAAACCCAACACACTATTGAACACTCAGCTTACTAGGTCAAGTTTAAAAATCCATTCAAGTGTACATAGCAGTTTTCAGAACAGAGAAATTACTCTGCATGGCCACCCATAGGTTCTGAGATCCTGGTGTTACATCTTTTCCTCCAGCACTGGCTGTAGATTTCCTGGGTATGGTCAGATATGTCGCCCCTATATAAACTGAGTGTGAAACATTGGAAATTATTGTCAAGACCCAACACAGGTTAATGTTGTTGGCCACTATTATATCATATCCATCACCTACCAACATGATTGCTCTAAGTAGCACCTTTGTTCTTCCTGCCATTAGCTGGATTACAATGGTCCCATTGCTAAGATTATCTCAAATTAAAGCTGACAATGTGTTTGAAAAATACACACTCAGGAATAATCCTAAATTGAAGGAAGTGGATAAATGGTGGGAGGGAATTTGCCTAATTAGCAAATAAGAGTTCTTAGGTTGCATTTCCTGAGGTTCAATGTTAATAGTATAATCAGGCACACAGGCAAAAAAAAATCTTCCTTTGATACAAACTGGAGGAAGTAATTAAAAATCATTCAAATAACTGATATGCATAATTTATCATATGTAGCCTAATTTCTTCCACTCCTATGGAGACATTTCACAACATCCTGCTGCACAAATGCGTTGTTTCACCACCCAAGTGATAACCCTTGGAGGACATGGTGGGTCAGTTGTATAACCCTTGGAGGACATGGTGGGTCAGATGTATAGCCTTGGAGGACATGGTGGGTGAGATGTATAGCCCTTGGAGGAGGACATGGTGGGTCAGAGGTATAGCTCTTGGAGGACATGGTGGGTCAGATGTATAGCTCTTGGAGGACATGGTGGGTCAGATATATAGCCCTTGGAGGACATGGTGGATCAGATATCTTTTGTATCCTCTACCAAGTCCAACTGGAATAGGTAGTTTGTTGGCTGATTAGCTAAATTTGAAGGTTTTAGACTGATTCCAGTGATTCTCTTAATCTGCACACATTGCTTTATTTTTCCTGATCTTACAGTTAGAACATGCCCAATGGCAAATATTTTTCTGCTTTGTGGGTTCATTTATATGGAAAGCTGCAGCAATGTATAAAAAGCAAATCACACTTAGTCATTTGTTAACACATTGTCTTCTCTGAAAAGAACAGAAGTTACACTGCTAATATGGAAAATATAGAATAGGTGGCATTCTAGTCATCTATTGCTCTGTAACAACAATCCTAAAATTTAACAGCATAAAACAAGACTAGTGTTTTTATGATCTCTTGGGTTCAGCTGGATGATGCTGGTCTGCGATCTCTTCTGGAGCTGCAATCAGATGGTGGCCAGAATTCAGAACTCAGATGGGCACTGGGAACCACCTGGCATCTCTTTATCCGCACATGGTCCCAGGGACTCTCCATGTGGCCTTGCCACAGATTACTGCAACATAGT